TTTTTGCATAAATAATGGCTTCCAGTGAACAGTGGCTTTCGTGGTGATCTAGGAGGAGTAAAATTGGATCAGTCCTAGTGCATTTAGTGTTCATGGAACCTTGCCCGATGGAAAATAAAAGCTGGTGGTACGATATTGCCCAATGCGCTAACAATTCCTACCATTGTAACGAGGTGTCCACGTTCGCCAGAAAAAGCTCTTCCACTTGCTTTATCAATCTTTTTGAGATTACGTTCGGAGCTTGAACAACCGTCATTACACCAGCGTTGTTGAGATTGAACGGGTATTTCGGAAGAGCTCGACTATAGTTGTCATAAAATTCTAAAACATTAGTTTTATTGAAATTGGTAGGCTCTTGAAAGACATCTTTGGATTTTTGTTTCAACTTCTTCTGGTATTTTGTAACACCACATTATGAGCATAAATTAAACACCAATAATGTTACCTTTAAATCAATTAACTCCTATGATACGTGTAGTATGCATAAAAATGCAAAAACAATATATATACTGTATATAAATGCAGTAATGAAACAATATCAGGGAAATTGAAAAAATGTAAAAAATTTCCAGTTAACGCTAGTTTTATAATGAATATAGTCTATAATCAAGAATAGTAAACATCATGAACACATCAAAAAACTCCATAAAAAATTCACGCGCAAACGTCTACTCCGTCCTAGCAATTAAAATTAAATTACCGACTGAGCACATAATTAGACATGGTCAGAATTAGTTTTTAAATACTGACTTAGTGTAAACGGTGTTAATGTCATTTAAATTATGGGTTGCACTATTATTTGGCAAGTTAATTATATTGCAGTTTTTTAACATTAGTTTATGTAAAGGTCACCGAAGACATGGGTTTAGAAAAGAAGTAATTTGGTTTGCGATAATTAATGATTATGTGTTAAATATTTTTCTGATTTTGCAATATATGGATGTTGTAACAGACAGAAAAAATGTTTTTTGGTGTTAGGTTCTTATCTTTCTCTTTCTTTTTCGGCAATGTAAGATCAAGACATTGCGTGATCATTCTAAATTATGGAATGTGCTTTAGTGCAACATTGGTGTATTATTGGTGGTTATTATTTGAAATTTCTTCCTTTAACTTGGGTCTTTTATCCCTCCGGGTGTCTAAAAAAATGGAATTCTGATGGGAAAAAGTCACGACTTAAAACATCGGATATAACAATTTTCCGTCGGGAAAAGTGGGAAATAAGTAGAAAAATGTAACGATGTTATAGGACCATACGAAGAGGACAAAATCAACAGTAATAGAAAACTATTACTTGAATTTTGTTTACAGATAACATGATGATCATGAATACACATTTCCAACACAAAAAGATACATAAGATCACAAGCGAAGTCTTATCAAGAAACGAACAATCAATTATTGACTATACTATAGTGCATTCGAGCGTTAAAATCCACCAATATTATCACCTTCCCTCTGATTTGATCTACTACTTGTTGTAATTGGTCATACAACGCTTCCCTTATGGTTTCAGGCTTCTTATTTTCTAGGCCGTATACTCCGATGATGTTCAGGTCTTCCCTCTCCATTCTTATCTTTGCTGTTACTATTCTTTCTGATATGTATTGACACTCTTTGATGTGATGTTGGTACCTTTGGTGTATTAGTAAGGCTACACCTTCTTTGGTCCTGTTTTCTTTTGCTACTCCACTGTAGATTAGTATGTATTCGCCTAATTCTGATTGTCCTTTTCCTTTCTTGTTTGTTTCCTGTAGAGTACAAAAGTCTATTTCTTTCTCTTTCAGCACTTGGGATATATCTTGGCCCCTTCAGTTGAGTGATCTGATATTCCAAGTAATAATTCTCATCTGAGTTTTGGATGTTTTTTCTTGTTATACATTGTTTCTTTGAGCAATGTTTTTTTTTACGATTCTTAGTTTGCTAACCTTGCCAATCACCCTCCACATTTTATCCAGGCTTAGGACTGGCTGTGGTAACCGCAGAGCTACTGAATCCACTTCACAATCACCCCAGGCAAAAATGATGTTAGAAACAGCAGAGATGAAAACACTTAGAAAAATTGATGGTAAGACACTATTGGACAGAGCTAGAAGTACAGATATACGACGTAGATGCAAGGTGGAGAACTATTTAGAACTAGGAAAAAATAGAAGAGTACAATGTAACGATCATATAAGCCGAATGAAACAAGGCATGTCTATATAAAAAGAAGAAGAAGAAGAAGCGTATAGTGCAAAAAACAGAAGGGAGTTGAATAAGAGACGTAAGAGTGAGAAGAAGAAGCTATGAAATAAGCAATAACACTACCTACTGGAACTACATTTAACAGCAAAAAATAGAAATAAAAATCAGAGAATTCAAGAAAATAATTAATATACATAAACCAAGGGAAGAAACAACAAAAATCAGACACAAGGAGGAGATAGAGAAGGAAATGGACAAAGAAGACAAAGACAAAGAAATAATAGAAATAGTAGAATAAAAATAGGAAAAAAAAAGCTGGGACAAGTTTGAAGAAAAAAATGGAAAAAAACAGTAAAGAAAATGAAAAATTGTTTTATAGAACACTGAAAAACCTACAAGGAACAAAGAAAAAAAACTGAAACAAATAATGACCAAAAACGGAACAATATTAACCAATGACAAGGATATAATGGAAAGATGAAGAGAATATTTCGAACAACTGTGAACGGAGAGCAAGGAAAATGAAAATAACATAATTAGCGGATCAGAGGAAACAGAAGCTATACAGAAAGAAGGACTAGGGGAAGCAATAGGAAAGATAAAGACTGAAACAAGGAGGTAGTTTAATCAAGTATTTTTATAAATGTAATAGATGAGATGGTGAAAGAATATAAGAAAACCTTTAAAAAAATACGTAAAATAGTTTCGAAACACAAGTCAGATTTCTGCTTATAATCTGATCCTTCTAAAAATTGCAAGGCAAACAGACGTTGATAAAAGATGTTAAAAGGGACATGGGGAATCTAAAATTTGCTTTCCACGACATGTCTTTACAACTAAGCAGAAATCCTTAGCGAATTGTGTTTCTCGTACTCACACAGAGTAGATCCGAATATAATGAAAAAGACAGCAAATATTTGATTTCACGCAAACAGCGCCTATGTATCTGTTGATACGTTAATAGGTCTCATCAGATCAGTTATTCATAGGTGTTCTCAACGTGAAAAAATCAATATTTTCTGTCTTTTAAGAAGCAACACTAACATTGCTTCAATACGGACGCAATAGCGACATCTAATAATAAAATCCGTAAAAAGACGTTTTTACGTATGCGTGGTGGTGTACATTTTATCTATAGTAGTGTTTATCATCATCATCACGTAGCGCTACAACCCTGGGTGGGTCTTGGCTGACTACAACTTTTTTCCAATTTGTTCGGTCTTCCATCAACCTAGGGTCAAATGGAATGTTCATTTTCCGAAGATCTGCTTGGATGTTATCTCTCCATCGCATTGTGGGACGCCCGAGTGGTCTTTTGCCTGTGGGAATCTCCTCCCATACCAGTTTTATAAGTCTCTCGTTATGCAGTCTGTGCACGTGGCCTGCCCATCTTAGTCGCTGTGATTTAATTTCTTGGACAATATCGGCGGCATTGTATATGCACCATATACTGGTTTGTGGTATTGTCATGGTAAGGTCCGAAAATTTCTCCAAGTATTTTTCGTTCAAAGCGTTTTAATTTTCAGCACTACTTGATTTGTTGCTCCTTCCACCTTATTGAAAATGTCTTTTGTGAATAAGATGGAGTCTCCAACGAGATCTATGTCATCTGCATATGCGAGTGACAGCTTGGGACCTTGAACGGATAGCAATTCTGTTTTTATTTCGGCCGACCTCATGGCTTTCTCTAATACAAGGTTAAAAAGTAGTGGAGATAACGCATCACCCTGTTTGCGTCCACTGTTGATTTCAAAGCTGCCAGACAGTTTATTATTTACACGTACTTTAGATATTCCACCCTCCATACAGACTTTGGTCATCCGAATGAGTTTCTTTGGTATTGAGAACTGAGAACTCCGTCATGGCATTCCATTCTTGGAATATATATGCCTGTCGAAATTCTATGAAAAGATTGTGTATGGGTCTCTTATACTCCATCCCTTTTCTAAAAGTTGTCTCAGCGTGAATAGTTGATCTGTTTGCCCTAAAACCGGCTTAATATTCGCCTAAGACATTTTCAACATAAGGGATTAGTCTACTAAGAATGATGTTTGAGAGGATTTTATATGCCGTGTTTAGGAGTGAAATTCCTTTATAATTCGCACATTTTGTTTTTGTCCTCTTTTTTGTGGATGGGCACTATTATGTTTTCCTTCCATCGTGCTGGTATTCTTTCTTCTAACCATATGTGCGTTATTAGCTGGTGCTTTAGTAGTGTTGGGTATGTTAATCTAATCTGCATTATTTAAGCACGTATATTATTTTGCTTAATTCTAGTATCTCAAAAGCTTTATGAAAATAAATAAAGAAAAGAGACAATAAACAATCCTCACTGTTCTCTAGCTTGTTAAGTATTCAGTTTTCTGTTCATTCTTGTAACAGAGGTTTTAATAGCCGCTATTAATTTGAATCTTTCTATTGCAAATTAAAAAACATAAATATTTGGACATATCTTTTTTTTATTTTAGCTTTTGTTACAAACTCAATCTTTTGCTTTTCTATTTTGGCTAAATTATTTTAAAACATTGTATATATTGTAAATATTCAATCAAATTTGTACCGGTTTAAATATTGACGAAAGAGTGGACACACGTAATTGAAAATAAAACTATAATATCCACAGAAATTTTCAATATATTTCTTGAAATATCACAAAAATACAAGCATACTGTTAAACGTAATCTACCTTGTAAAAATAATTACTATTCACGTAACTTCTCAATAACAAGTCGATTAAAAACAAAAACAATCATCCTACAATCAACACACGCGCCAACCTCAAACTTAACCTCACTTTTCGTTCTATTTTGTTGCAGGACACCATCCGCCAAACGCCAACACCACCACCTCCTCGGGCAGTCCACCTCTCACGGCTCAACCGTCCCCTCTCACTCCGGAAGATCAACACCGCGAACTTGACGAACTGCTCAGCGATATGATGCTCACCGTTCAGTCGATTCCGGACTTGAAACCGTCGCCGACTTCATCTATAAACGTGAGAGAAGAGGATAACTTCCGATTTATAGACGACGAAGAGGAGAGAGGTATTCCGTACCACGCTAGGCAAACCAGTCAACCCTTTAGGTGAGTTTTCGAGAGGGTTTTCTGAAATACTTTCGGATAATAAGTGCAGTTTTTGGTGGTTCAGTGATGAATTTTCAATTTAATTATGAATTAATTAATACATGGAATGCTCCTGTGGGAGTTGAAGGTTATGCAAAAGATTGGAATAATATATATCATGATTTTTTATTATCCTTGATCTACCAAATATAGTTGTCCAACAGAAATGATAGATATTTATATTATCTGCTATAAAACTAAACGGCAAAAATGTGTATATTATAGAAAATTTCATTTTTAAACGTCTCCATTGATTTACTCCCTTGTATTTTGGTGCTCTTCTATAGTTTAATAAATATACTCTTCTTCAGCAATGACTGCAAATTTTTCGTTTCACCACGATTAGCAACTTTATATATTTTTTTTATTTTTGGTTTCCTATAATTGTCGTTGCGAAATATGTATTTAACAATAAAATACTGAAAACTTTTGATTTCAAAACTTCCACAAAAATTTATTATATTGTATTATCACTACAACTGCATTCTCAAGTGATTTATTTTTGTAAATATGTATTGTAATTATTTTTTTTTAATATATTGTAGAAGGATTGTTTGATCTTTCTTAATTTTTCATAGTACTTCTCTGTTTGCTACTATGATGATGATCTATGCAGATGTTATTCTTGTAATATCTATCTCTCTCTTTCTATATATATATATATATATAATATATATATATATATATATATATATAATATATATATAAATAAATAAATATATATATACAGGGTATTTCAAAAAGGTATGTCAAATTAAATCACGCATTCTGGAGACAAAAATAAATTGATTGAATCCAACTTAGCTTAGTATAAAAGTGTACCCAAAAAAGTTGAAAAAAGTGTACCCTTTGAAGTTAAAAAATAAAAATAAATTTTTTGCATTATCTCCTAAACTACTTGACATTTTGTAATAAAAATGGACACGTTACTTTCTTGTTCTGAAAGCATTTTTCATACAAAAAAACAACAAAATCTAAGCGCACAGAAAAATTTTAAGGGGGGTGTGGAGCCCTAAATTCCCCCAAACTTTTGAGTACGTTAAAATCAAATGAATTTTATGGCATCATTAGTTTAACACATTATTTTAAAAAAAAAATTGCCTCATCACTTTTTTCAAAAAACAGTTTTTATTTTTTTATTGAATTACGGGGCCTTTTCATTATCCTTTAAAAAATTACGTGCAACTAAATAAATGGCATAAATGAATTAACAAGTACAAAAAATGACTATAACCTCTATAAGTATGATTACATTACAATAAATGTTCAAAATGACCCCATTTTCTTCAATACACATTTGGTATCGTTTTAATAAGGAAAACCGAATGCGCTGAAAAATCATATTTTTCTGACGAAATTGATTTGCAGCTTCAATTATTCTAACCCTCAATTATTGTTGTTCGTCCTCTATTGTTACAGAAAAGACTTTCTCTTTTATATACCCACAAAAGCAAAAGTCAATGGGGTTAAGACCTGAACATCTGGGTGGCCAAGAAATAGTAGCCCACCAACCAGAATACTGCCTGCAAAGGTATTCCCGGACTACATTACTGTAATGAGGTGGAGCGCCATCTTGTAGAAATCACATATTTTGCCTTATTGCAATATTCACTTCTTCCAAATACTCTTATAAATCGTTTGCTAAGAACTGCAAATAATTATCACCATTTAAATTGTTGGGAAGAAATACTGGGCCTATTAGATTGTTATCCACAATTCCTGCCCAAACATTAACTTTGAAAGTGGTGATGAGTCGTTTTTTTGGCGTGAAGATTTTCGTCGGCCCAAATGTGCTCGTTATGATGGGTTTGTTATTTCATTTCTACTGAGGGTAGCCTTATCGGTAAACAAAATATTTCTAATAAAATTAACATTTCGAGTGTTTTCCTTTAACAACCAATCGCAAAATCCAATCCTATTAGGATAATCTTCAACCAATAACTCTTGAACCGTTGTTAAGTGATAGGGTTTAAGCAGCTGGTCCTTCAAACGCCTCCAATCCCTTACGTGGGGAACATTTAGTTGAGCAGCTATTATCTTTGTACTTGTTCAAGGGACTTCTTCAATTATTTCAAAAATGTCTTCATCAGCTGCATCTATTATTGGATGACCACTATTTCCAGTTGGAATATACCCGTTTCCCGTAAACGACGATCAATGGTCAGAAATAATTGTCTATCGGGTGTATTTCGATTGGGGTATTTTACTGCATAACGCCTTGCGGCTGCTGCACTATTTCCTTGACATTCTCCTACGATATTTCCGATAGTTTATTGAAATCAATTTAATCTGATCCAACTTACCCAAAGTTAAATGCATATCTGCCATTTCCTGAAATGGATTGGGGCAACTACAAAAAAAAGCAATAAAGGGGTACTTATACAAATCTCTTGGGACAAACAAAATGTGAAACACCCTGTATATCTAATATAAGTGTAACCTGCGATGTGGAATTAAGTCGCAAAAGCTTTCTAGATCCTATTTCTTGTTGTGATGATCTTTTGCTAATATTCTCTTCTTACATGTTTTTTTCTCTTAATCCTGCGTTTGATGTAAGTCTTCTTCAACTTTTTGCAGCCACTTTGATCTTGTTTTTCTCCTTTTCTGTCTTCCTCATGGGTTCCTTTCTATCATCGCTTATGTCATTGCTTATATCCGGCTCGCCAAATGTGACCTAACCACCTATTTCTACATTTATTTTGGTCACGATATCTTATTTAGTACCTACATTCTTAACATCTGCATTGGATGTGCTTCTTTATTCATTTTAAACTGTTTTGGTTGATCCCAGTATGGTTCTCATGATATTTCTTTCCACTATACGTAAGTCTTCTTTATCTTTTTAGTCATTGTCATTGTTTCTGCTGCGTATAATTAATATTAGTCTAATTATTGTGTTATATATGTTTTTGCTTATTGTCACTCTTAGGTACTTGAAATGTTCTATTTCTTCACATTTTCAGCTCCCTATTTTAATTTTTTCTATTATTAGTTTTATTTCATAATTGTAAAGCTTTGTCTTTTCTTGATTTAATCTCCCTTTGTTTCCCTTTTTTTTATTTCTTTTAACATTTCTTTCATTATATTTCTGTTCTTTGCAATAATAACAATATCGTCTGCGTAAGCGGTTATTTGCCCACCTTTTATTCTTAGGTTTTCTTTGTTTATAGTACATACAGCATTGTGGGTCTAATTATATTTTTGTATACTTTTATTTTTTTATTACTAATAATCTTTAGCCTTAATTATTTTGTTCATGACACCAGCACATCTGTTGTTCTTTATTAGCCCAATAAGGGTACCTAAGTACACATATTCATCCACCTTTTCTCGAGCCATTCTCCACCTCTAATTTAAAGGAGCCCCTGGTGTGTATTCCTTTTTTGCTTAAGATTTTCATGTACATACTTGGATTTATTAATATTAACTTTCAGTCCCATCTTAGAACTTTACCTAATCAGTCTTTTTGCTATACTTGCCAGTTCTTTTCCATTTCTTGCAATGAGAACCATAGCATCAGCATACGCTAAGCATTGGTGCTCTTTATAGAAAAGAGTCATTTGATAACGCTCTCTGGGTTGAGAAAAGAGTCATTTCATAACGATTGTCGGACCAAATAAAGGAGATGACTGGTTACTTATTTTCCAAAGGAAAACAACACGCACAGGAGAGAGATAATTGGACAGAAATAATCAAACAAATTACATGACGCCACTACATCCTTACGAAGGAGAAAATTTTGAGAGGAGATAGAAAAAAGTACCCTACCTATTTATCTCACTAATCCTTATTTTTAGAACTAAATTGAATAGCAACGTTGGCATCGGATCTCCTTGGTAAACACCTTTTTTCACTTCGAATTCTTCTGAGACTGTACTATTGCATTTCACAGCACAAATGGCTTTTTTAATTGTCATCTTTACCAATCTTACTATTTTTTCTGGTACTCAGAATTCTTTTAGGGTTCCTATTAATTTGTTTCTGTCTATTGTATCGTAGGTGGCTTTGTAATCCATGAAAAGTACTTGTACTGAAACGTTGTATTCATACCAATTGATTAGAATTTGTTTTAACATAAAAATTTGATAGGTTGTTGACCTTCCCTTGCAAAATTCTCTCTAATATTCTCCTACATGCTTCTTCACATATATTTCAAGTCGTTTTTTGATTAGTATGGCGACTTATAGAAGAGAGTATTCTTAAAGATTCTTCTATATAACCACGTTTTAAAATGCTACTATGTTTTAATAACATTGGCTAAGCTTCTAATCCAATATAGGAGTCGTTTTTTAACTCCATATCCTTCATGCGCATAACACCTTGGTACGCAGTATAATGACCTATGGAGCAGAGAATTGGTTAATAAATAAACGAAACAGGTCCAAAATCACAGCAACTGAAATGCAGTTCATGAGAAGAAGCTGCAGAGTGACAAAAATAGATCGCATCAGAAATGAGGAGATAAAACGAAGAATGGTAGTGACATACTCAGCTACATCGAAGAAAAACGTTTAATGTGGTATGGACTTGTGAGAAGAACAGATCATACAAGGTGAATAGCAAAGATTTCGGATTGGAGCCCAATAGGAAGGAGGAAAAGAGGTATACCCCGAAGATCATGGAGGGATGAAGTGGACGAGGCCATGGAAAGACGAGACCTTAGAGATGAAGAATGGCAGAACAGAAAGGACTGGAGACGTTGGTTAAAAGAAGGAAGACTTGGAACCTTTTTACACTATGTTGTATTTGGGTCCTTTATCAAATTCTTATGTGGTGACAGTTTCTTGATTCGCATATCTGAAAAGAAGAAGTTAAAAGTTTAGCATTTAGCTTTAAAAACCACCTGACAATCCCAGAGAACCATTTCCTGAACCGGCCACTATTTCCGGATCATTTGCCTCATCACTGCCTTAGTATTTGCAAATAATTTAACCTAATCCAGTTAAGCCAATGAAAAGTCTTTACAAAGACTAAAAGAAAATTAATTTCTTTTATCAAACATTCCCATTTTCACACATCTAATAAAAAGTAAATTAACTCGGATGCTTGTCATTCGTTTCATTTATTCGACTTAACGTCAAATGATAAAGAATCTGAATATTACATCGAAAATCCGTTTGCTTGGAAATGAATATCCTACGTTCGATATCCGGTATTGGTAAAAGCATTAAGGTGTTTTTAAAGTACTCCAAAGATCTTCAGTTTATGCAGTTCAAGCATAGTGACCTTCCTTTTTACAATAAGACCACATAATAGTCTGCCTTGCATAACACCTATATTGCCACGGCTGTGTCAAAGCGAACTGATATTATTATTTATTTTTTTTGAGATAAGATGACGTAGAATCGGAACTTTATACAAAGATTTAAACAGAAAGTACTGACCTACAAAGATAACGCTACATAAACACAATATGTAAACCATTCATTGCCTATTTCCGGTACTGCAAACCAATGGCATAATACAAAAGATTTTTCGCGAGACATAAATAATTGAATATACCTAATGGAAATATTTTTTTTAAATACAGCAAAACCTTCAACATTCACAAATTATTCATAACCCATTTTGAGTTTGACGACAACATAACAAAATATTTCATTTTTTATTCTTTCTTCAATACTTATTGCACCTATCTCTTGTGGTCCCATCCTCTCTTGGTGTGAGTAGTTGTGTTTCTTCTTAAAATTGATTTTTGGCATCTGTCATACTAGTGTATCAGCGAGCTAATTAATTAACGGTATGATGTATCTACCAACACCACCATAAGACTAATTCTGAATGTTCTCTGCTACTGGCGAAAAATTCTCAGTATTGCTCTGATGCTGGGAATTTTTTTTTTGCGATGGTAGAAACATTAGGTTGTTCTCATCTGAGACTGGAAACTTAGAGAATTTGAAGACTAGCAGTTTTCTCATTCAGTTCAGGTTTGAGATTCGTTTTTTCCACTGTGATACATATAAATATGATCCTGTAGTAGGTGATCTCCAATACTTCACACTCTTCAATTGTGGGTATTTGCTGTATGGTTCTTTTGTTTCTGATTTTATTTAATCAAATGGAGTGACATGGCTGTTTCCTCTGTGGACTAAAGTGATAAACGGAGTCGTCCTCGAACTAGTTCTTACTTTTTCCTAGTTTGGTATGAATTCTAAATATTCTTCAAGTCACTAAATGAATATCTGGTTCTTATTAGCTTTAGCCAAAGTTGCTGTATCGTCACATAGTGGATCGTCCAGGGATAAATCCAATCAGTGCCATCTGATTGGATTTATCCCTGGAAGCCAGAACGCTACAGTTATTGCTTTGTTATATCAAAATAATGCATAAAAATAGTTAGTAGGAGAAAAAAAAGATAAACCAGCAGAAAATAGATTAGTTTTTTTACAAGCAAGTCAAGACACGATTACTAATGATATTTAGATACTTTTGACCAAAAATATATGAATCTTTTTATATAATTAATATCATTTAATATGCCTTATATTAAAAATTAAATGGCCCCTGAACCAATTCTCTGTATGTTTTATTGATCCTTAGTAAAATCCGTTTAAAAAAACTTCTATGGCTTAATAGTTTACTCAAAACGTTTTATTTTTACTTTCTTTCTAGCTACGGGATAAACGCCAACATGATCAGCGAGTCCAAGCGGCTTGCCAGCCCTTCCCTTGTGCGAAAAGCCAGTG